GCCCCAGCACCTGGCCAGCAATTTAAAATATTTATTTAGAAAAAAATCACTTTTAAGAGACAGAGAAAGCCTTCCAGTAAAGGTGTTTCCATGAGTTTGAACTTTGTTATACAGATCCACAATCCTTATTGAACTTCCTGGGGCCATATTTGTTTTAGAATTCAAGTTTTTTGGGGTTTTCAAATGGTTATTCCATGTATTTTCTACAGTCTAAAGTGGTTCTGAAGCATTACCCTACAATAAAACACGTTAATGTTTTTTAAAGAATTGTATGACTATTCATACTAAGGGAGGTAAGTGATGATTATCAGTATCTTCATATCAGTTCAGGGCATGCTTTGTCATTAAACGAGTTTTTAACTTAAAAAATACACTTTCAGGTTTTAGAGTTTTTTGGATTTTGGAATTGTACATAAGGAAGTTAAGGGATGATGGGTTTATATTAACTCTGTTTCAAGGCCAGGATGAGGGTAGATAAAAGAAATAAAAATAGAAAAGACCAGATGTGGTGACTCATGCTTGTAATCCCAACGCTTTGGGAGGCTGAGGCGAGCAGATCACTTGAGGTCAGCAGTTCAAGAGCAGCCTGGCCAACATGGTGAAACCCTATCTCTATTAAAAATACAAAACTTAGCCAGGCATGGTGGCACATGCCTGTAGTTCCAGCTACTCCAGAGGCTGAGGTGGGAGAACCGCTTGGATCTGGGAGGCAGAGGTTGCAGCAAGCTGAGATTGTGCCATCGCACTCTAGCCTGGGCAACAGAGCGAGACTCTGTCTCAAAGAAGGAAAGAAGGGAGGAAGGAAAGGAAGAAGGAAGGAAGGAAGGAAAGGGAAGGGGGAAGGGGAGGGGAGGAAGGAAGGAGGGAGGGAGGAAGACAAGCAGGAAGGAAGGAAATGCCAAGCTTAGAGAATAAGCAATTTTTAAAGTAGATCAGACTGAAGCCATAGCGTTTCTGGGTCTGCATCTAGAAGCAGACAGTAGCAGGTGGGAATTTGGCCCCTACACAGTAAAGAGGACTAACAGGGCTTCATGGGAGATGGGAGCCTGGGGCCATGCTTAGCACTTGAGGCCTGGTGCTCAGGTAGAACTCCCTAGATCATGAGGGGAGCTGTTAGAGTGTCTGCACTGAGTTGGATAATCAATCCTGCATAGAGCATCTCCTGTGTGCCATGCCAGTAGCACTTCCATGAAGCAATACTGGTCTGGACAAAAGATAGGGATCTGAATCAGCACTGTAACAATGGGCATGCAGTGGTTGGGGTTGATAGGAGAGACTTAGAGAATGAGAATGACGGAAGATGATTCCAAGGTTTCTTGCTTAAATGATCCCGTGGGTGGTGCCGTCATTACCTGAAATAGGACATACCAGAGAAGGAACAATATTTGGGGAGCAGATGTTGCTCAGTTCTAGAGATGCTGAGTTTGAGAGTCTAGTGTGTCTCAGGGTAGGGGAGACGTCACATGTATCAGTCTTGAGATTAGGGCGAAGGAGTGGAGTTAGCAAACGTAGTAGTAGTTAAAATGAGGAAAGAGGGTGACATTTTCTAGATGGAGCATGAAGACTGAGAAAAGAGTTAAGGGTAGAACACTGGGAATACCATCAGTTTTAGAGAAGAAAGATACACCTGCAAAGGAGACTGAGAAGAAACAGCCAGAGGTGGGGAAGGACCCGGGGAGATTGTTGTCATGGGGACCAGAGGAAGAGACAGCAGGGAGTGTTCATGAGCGCCACATTCCAAGAGACAGAGTTAGGAGGCCTAAGCAGTGTCATTGGAGCCTTTACTCCTTGACCTGCCCCAATCAGATTATAGTCGTTGCAGTTCCAGTGGCTGGGACACTGTACCCTGCTGGCTCTCAGAGTGGATTCCAGGTTTGAGGAATGGATTTAAAAGAAGATTCTCACATGTGTAAACATGTCCCAAGGTGCTAGGAAAGGGGCTATTAGAGGTTGGGACAAAGGAAGGGGGTGAATGATGAGCCCAGGTCCTAATCCCAGAAACTAACCTTGAAGAGAAAAATGGACTCCGTCTTCCTGAGTGAGGAAAACCTGGGTGCAGACTAGGTGTGCTGTTGCACATTTACTTGAAATAGCCAGACCTTCGATAGATTCCCAGGGGGAGGATTTTGCTGGCTTGAGTGCTCTTAAGAATGATTATGTTGGCCAGGCGTGGTGGCTCATGCCTATAATCCCAGCACTTTGGGAGGCTGAGGCGGGCAGATCACATGAGGTCGGGAGTTTGAGACCAGCCTGACCAACATGGAGAAACCTCGTCTCTACTAAAAATACAATATTAGCCGGGCGTGGTGGTGCATGCCTGTAAGCCCAGCTACTCGGGAGGCTGAGGCAGGAGAATTGTTTAAACCCAGGAAGTGGAGGTTATGGTGAGCCGAAACCGCACCATTGCACTCCAGCCTGGGCAACAAGAGCGAAATTCTGTCTCAAAAAAAAAAAAAAGGATGACTGTGTCTGTGTATCCCGTTTTGAATACTAAAATTGTAACAATCTGTAGCTCGGTCTTGAGCAAGTAAGCATGTTTTCAGGTTTTTAAGCGTTATTCATAGGCCTAATCACTAACATTTTATCTAAAAATTGCTAGCCAACAGTGGCCTGGTGCCACAAGCAGAGCAGTAGCAGGAGACCAAAGGGGAGCATCTGTTTAAAACTGCTGCTCTGCTGCCCCAGTGATACTGTATCAAGGAGGGTGGGGTGTGTGCCACATGTTCATGGGAGAAGGGGAGTGATGGCTGTGAAAGCTCCGATGGCAGCCACTGCTAAGGCACTGGAGGTAGGAGTCAACAAGACAAAGATCCTGCCTTGAAGGAGCTTACATTATAGAAGGTGGAGACAGATGATAAACATCAGCACAATAACTATAGTATGTTGGAAAGTAATAAACGCTGATGGAAATGAAAGTTGAGCACAGTAAGTGTGGTGGAGGGAGTGCCCAGGAGTGAAGATGGAGGTAAGATATCTGGCGAGGGGGTGTCCGGGCAGAGAGGACAGCTGTGTTGAGGAATAGCAAGGAAGCCAATGTGGGTGGAGTAGGGTGAGCAGGGGGCAGAGAGCACTAGGAGGTGAAGCTGGTGGAGGGGAGGGGAGGGTCTGGTTTTGGACGTGATTAGTTTGAGATGTCTGGTAGACATCCCAGTGGAAATGTTGGGATATGTGAGGCTGGAGTTTTGGGAGAGAGCTGGGCTGGAAATAAACATTTGGGAAGTTGGGTTGGCATATGGACGGTATTGGAATCCATGAGTCTGGATAAAATCACTGAGGGAGTGAATGCAGACGAGAAGGGGATCAGGGACTGAAGCTTGGGGCACCTAGACATCAAGCAGGAGGCTGGAAAGGAACCAGTCAAAGCGGTAGAGGAGGAGTGACCAGTGGGAGCGAGGTGAAGCCGTGTATTGTAGGCTGAGGGAGTGACTCAGATGCTACTGAGAGGTTAAGAACCAAGAGCCTTTGATTTAGCAAAGTGGAGGTCATTGATCATGCTGGAGACAGCAGCTTGGGAGAGTGGTAGGGGTGAAAATGGGGTGGAGGCGTGGGTTGGGGAGAGAATGGGAGGAGTGGAGCTGGAGGCAGTGAGGAGTGCAGAGTGAGTAAGAGGACAGCAGTGGTTGAGGAAGAGGAGTCGAGCGGGGGTGTGCAGAGCAGAGGGGCAGAGGAGAATGGGCCTGTGTGCTGACAGAAACTATCACAGAAAGAGGGGTGCTGTATCCACACACTTGGTTCTGTCTTCTCTCCTTCCCTGTCACCTGGAGTTCTTGCTAGTTTTATTTGAAGGGAAATAAAGTGAGCTGTTCTGGCTGAAGGAATATAAAGCTTTTCTGCCTCATCTTTAGTTCTCTTGTCTTTAATGGCAGGGCAGGAGCAGCTTAAAGCTGTAATCATAGTGTGAAACCCATGTGGACAGTTTTTGATAGCCATAATTTTGAAAAGGCTTGAAATCATCTGGAGATTCCATTGCACATGAAAATTTGGTCCAGTTATTAGTTTCTACTTCCAAATGTAATAGAACAGGGACGCTGTCTCTCCCCCTTTTCTTAAATAATCAAAGTTTAAATTCGCTTTTCTTCTCATTTTACGTTAATAGCTATTTTGTAACACACTGATGATAATAAGCATTTAGTAAGTATTAGTTCTTGTTAGGAATCTCCTACTTAGTGTAGCAGTGAAACTAGTTTGTTGAAAAAATGGAATTGGTCTGCATATTGTTAACAGAATTTGTGTGTACATTTCAGAATATTTGCTTTGTTTGCTGAGCTACATGAAATTATATGTAAAACCCTCAACTTTAACCAGGTAGCCTTCTTTAGAACCTTCTGTGCCTACTGTTATCTTTACACAGCTGTATTCACGCTCCCATGCCCTTCCTTACCCTTGTCAGTTGTGCGGCACTTCTCCTGCAGCCCCTAATTACTGCTTCTTCAAGTTTAACTAATCTCCGGACCCAAAGCGTATGTTATTAAGCTGATTTCATTAGTGCGTGTGAGCATAGGAGGAGAGGGAGTGGTTGAAATGGCCAGCTTTTAGGGCTCCCACTAGAGCAGGCTCTTAAGCCATCTTCTCAACCAAAACACTCAATTAGCATTGGTATTTAGCACAGATACCTGTAAAATCATAACCCTGAAGCATAGCAAATGTGCATTTTGCAATTTTTAAATTCTTAGATACTAATTTCCAAAGCGTTAATAACCTCAGCCAGAACATTTCATTCTTCAGTTACGTTACAGGAGAACTGATTATGAGCCTAACCTGAACTTTCCACCTCTAATTCCTAAGTCTACCCTGCCCTGTATTCTTTGTGTTTTATCCTCTGCTGTAGCTTTCTCATCATGGGACTCACAGCTGTGTGTGCCATCAATTATCTACTTGATAATTTTTCTAAGTCTTGAGGTTTACTGTTAATCAGAATGCCTGAGCAGTAGCATTTAATTTTGCACTCGAACACTTAACAGATATTAATAATAACAAATCATCTTTCTCTTCCTATTTAGCTCTGTAAGAAGCATCATTTTGGTATTAACAAACCAGAGAAGATTATACCATCTCCTGATGACTCAAAGTTTCTACTGAAGACCTTTACGCATATTAAATCCAATGTGTCTGCTCCTAATAAAAAGAAAGTAAGAGTTTAATTGATACGGGCTTTGAATTCATCTTTGATTAGTTTTAAATGGAGAGATAATTCTGTACTCAGAAAATTTATTTTCAAACCATTTGTTGTATTGAAGCACTGTCTCCTTATGTCCTTGGGATTATTTTCACTTCTCTCTTAGGAATTTATGTGTTATCCTCAGATTACTTTACATTTAATTTCTGTAGTAATAGTACATTAATTTCTTGTAGGTTAAGGAAAGTAAAGAGAAGGAGAAGTTGGAGAGGAGATTGCTTGAAGAGTTGCTGAAGATGTTCATGGACTCGGAATCCTTTTATTATAGCTTGACGTATGACCTGACCAATTCGGTGCAGAGGCAGAGCACTGGGGAGAGGGATGGTCGGCCCCTCTGGCAGAAGGTACCACTCACAGCTCATAGAGCAGGGTTTGCCCTTGGGAACAAGTGAGGGCCTGTTTTGGCTTTTGTAGGAAAACTGAAATAATGTGTTTCTGAACTGTTGTTTCTGCACCTTTTCTAGGTTGATGACCGATTTTTTTGGAATAAATACATGATACAAGATCTTACTGAGATTGGTGTGAGTAGTTGTTTCTAAAATATCCTAACCCTACTGAAATTGGTGTATTTGTTTCTAAAATGTCTGGATATAATTGTTAAGCAAATGTTTTTTAATTAAGATACATTTTTAAAGATCACTATGTTTTCCCCTATGGAATGGGAATCATTTAGGTAGGAAAACCAAGGCATTATTTTAAGGCAGTTTACAATTCCACTGCCTCCTCACAGGCCTGTCTTTTTAGCAGATTCCCATAGGATAGTGGTAAGTTAAGGCTGTGGAACTCATGTTCATAGAGGTCCTGCAAAAGAGGTATTTTCTTTTTTCTTTTCTTTTTTTTTTTTGAAACGGAGTCTCGCTCTGTCGCCCAGACTGGAATGCAGTGGCACGATCTCAGCTCACTGCAAGCTCCACCTCCCAGGTTCACGCCGTTCTCCTGCCTCAGCCTCCTGAGTAGCTGGGACTACAGGCGCCTGCCACCACACCCAGCTAATTTTTTGTATTTTTAGTAGAGACCAGGTTTCACTGTATTAGCAAGGATGGTCTCGATCTCCTGACCTCGTGATCCGCCCACCTTGGCCTCCCAAAGAGCTGGGATTACAGATGTGAGCCACCACACCCGGCCAAAAGAGGTATTTTCTTTCTACCCATTGGGAAAGTTGAAGCCCAGTTTTCCTGTAATGGTACCAATTATTTTTACTTTCGCCACACCTCTGTTTTCCCATCTGGGAACTGGAATAGACAAATCTCTAAGGCCATTGCTGTACTACCGGTATTTGATTGAGGGAAGATACAGAATATGATGAGATTATTGCATGGAGTTCCTCTGGTTTGATGATTACTTTCTTCCTTTTCTTGGTCATGTATGTTGGAAAATTGACTGTCTGAAGACAATTCATTCCATCAACAAATATTTATGGAAGGCCTGTTATGTGCCACTTGTCTTTTCAACACTAAACAAAGCAGGCAAATAGGTGAATAAAGTCATATATTATCTTTTAACCTTTCAGAAATTTCAGACCTTTTCCTTTTGGTTTATCCCCCTTTCTGGTGGTTAGTATCAGTGATTTTCCCATACTCTATGGTGTTTTCGCTAGATATCCATCAATTGCCTCTATGGAGAATGAGGCCTGAGATTATTTTTACCTCTGTTTGCAATGCTGATCAAACTGTGACCACCAAAACCCAGTGGTAGATTAGAAAAGTAGGGGCATCTATAATGAGCATTTGTCCTGTGTGCTGACAAGATCGAGCTCTAATTGTTTTTGCCGAGTTTTTGTCAGAATGCTTTTACATTACCATTTAAAACTGATGACTTGAAGTTGTCATATTCAAAGGTGACATTTGGCAGCATAAATTTCTCTATGCCTGTCAAGAGTTTTGCATTTATTGCTAGAACAGAAATATAAATGATGGGAATGGTGATAAGAATGCAGACAGATCCTTTACCTCCCCATTTTCAATTTTTACCACTTTCCTAACATCCTATCTGCAGGCCCCATAAAACAAAACAAAACCGTGAGATAGGATCTGGAGTGTTTGGTGATGGAAGAAGAGGTGGATTTGAAGTGGATGCTGAGATTAAGCCTGGGTACACTTAGGGAGATAAGAGAGAAAGTAGGACGAAGAACAACTTTCTGGAGCATTTTTATCCTTTACTGTCTCTGCAGACAATAAGTTGAGAAATCTGTCTTCTTAGTCTAACTGAAAGGGACAGAAGAAGAAATCTCTATTTTATTTATTTGTTTTTTTGACAGAGTCTCACTCTGTCACCCAGGCTGTAGTGCAGTGGCATGATCTCAGCTCACTGCAACCTCCACCTCCCTGCAACTTCCACCTCCCAGGTTCAAGCGATTTTCCTGCCTCAGCCTCCCAAGTAGCTGGGATTATAGCTTGCGCCACCATGCCTGGCTAATTTTTTGTATTTTTAATAGAGACGGGGTTTCACCATGTTGCCCAGGCTGGTCTCAAACTCCTGACCTCAAGTGAATCACCCGCCTCAGCCTCCTAAAGTGCTGGGATTACAATGTTGATCCACTGCGACCGACCAGAAGAAGAAATCTTTAATCAATACTGTCCTAATTATGTTGGATGACATTTTAAAATAAGACATTTATGAAATGGGGTTTTTTTTTTGTTTGTTTGTTTCATTTGTGACTTAGATTTTAGCTTGAGGAAGTGAAATTTTTTTTTTTCTAAGCCAGAGAATAAAGTAGACCTATGTGTTTCATAATAAAGTGATCAGAGTTGGTTGTATTTTATTAAAGCCTTAATACAATTGGGAGTTGAGACTCATAAACATTTGTTAAATACTTCCTGTATGGCAGGCACTGTGCTGAACACTTTATGTGTATTATCCATTTAATCTTCACATTTTCATGAAGTAGTTGTTACTATTTCACAGAGAAGGACAGCGATGGTGAGGGTGACTCCCCTCAGTGAGTTAATAAATGGTGGGCTTGGATTTGTACCCAGGCAGCCTGGCTCTTAGGCTGCGTTCACCATAAAGAAAAGGAACGACCTCCTCTGTCCCTTCCGTGGTGTTCTTCAATAAGCAGAAAATATGGTTGAATAATGGAAGGTTTCTGCTTCTAATAAACTGAGAAATATGTGCCAACTACTGTTTGGGTTTAAGAAAGTAGCAGTGCTGTACAGAATAGAAACAATATGATGTTCATTTTGTTTTCAGACCCCAGATGTGAACTTTTGGATTATCCCCATGATCCAAGGTTTTGTACAGATTGAAGAACTTGTGGTTAATTATACCGAATCATCTGATGATGAGAAAAGCAGCCCGGAGACCCCCCCTCAGGAGTCCACCTGTGTAGATGATATTCACCCACGATTTCTAGTGGCTCTCATTTCACGCCGAAGTAGGCACAGAGCAGGTGAGTGGAGGGCTCTAATAGCATGCAAATCAAATCCAGGCGAGAATGGAAAAGCTGCAGATGTGTTGAAATGCTAATGACAATAATGGATTTGGAAACACAGTTGGCTTCAAAGTGCTTGGGGACTCTAAATACTGTGATATAACTGGAGACAAATTTTTGAAGAGGGGTGAATAAGAGTTAGCAAAATGAAAAGGAAAAGGAGGTACATATATAGAGAGAAGAGAGAAAGTCACTTGAGATGTGCTTCAGAATACTGGCACTCCACTGACAGCCTGTATCACCGTGATAAATCCTTCCTGTGTGCTAGCGCCTTTGGGAAAACCTTTCTTTCAGTTCAGAAGAACTGAGCTTCAACTTGTTAAAAACAATGATGCATACAGTTAAGATTTGGGGTAAGTCGATACTGTTCTTGGCAGTTGCACACTGAATCCCCAAGACTATCCTAGAAGGCATACATTTGATTAGGAAGCATAATCTAGTCAGACTAAATAAATTTTTTAAAATGTTGCTGTTTTCTGTTTTAATTTTCTTTCAGGAATGCGCTATAAACGAAGAGGAGTGGATAAAAATGGAAATGTTGCAAATTATGTGGAGACTGAGCAGTTAATTCATGTTCATAATCATACCCTGTCGTTTGTTCAAACACGAGGCTCTGTGCCTGTCTTTTGGAGCCAGGTTGGGTATCGATATAATCCAAGACCGCGGCTGGACAAAAGTAAGCAGGTCAATTATATTGTTTGCAAATGATGATTTCAGAGAGAATAGTTTTTAAGAAATTAGGTACCTGTTGGGTTTGGATTTGCTTTGCCAGATACTTCATTCAAAACAATAACTTGTATTTGAAAAATGTAATAGAAAGTGGTGTAATAATCATAGGAATAAAAATAGTTGACTAAGTCACTTATTTAACAGTACAAAATTTCTCTAACAGTAGAGCAAAACAGCTTACTTCAGAGACTTTAAATTGCTGTTGCTTTGAAGAGTACTGTATGGAATGTTTAACTTTGGAAAGGAGCAAATCTAGCCAATATTTGTAGAAGCAGGAGATGGCTTAAGATGGAATCTACCAAAAATCAATAAGATGCCTTTACTCCAATATTTTTCTCTGAAAGTTTTTTTTTTTAATTTTTTAAATTTAAATCTTGAGTATTTTGTCTCTTCCAGTGTCTTGTTTTTAGTATTGGAATAGCTAAGTCATTTAAATCTAATTATTGAATGAGGCTGATTTTTTAAAAATTGTTAAAGTATATTTCTCTCTCCTTAGTTGGTATTCATGAGAATTCAGTACAGTTTTGGTTTTTAAAATATTGTTTTAGAGGCGTTTTTAAACTACGTGAAAGCGTTTCTGAGAAGTAGGCTGGATATATAAGTAATCTCATAATGTCATAGTTTGCACTTTCAGATATATTTTAGTGTAGTGTAATTGGAAAAAAATCAGATCTTTGACTTAGCATTTCATTTTTAAATGATGGTTTTAGACAATCTTAGTTCATTTGGGCTGTCAATAAATTATTTAAAAGTAAGAATAAAGATGGAGTAGACACTAATATGTCTTAAACATGGGAAGGAAAAAAAGATTTTGTATCACTTCTTTGTAGGTGAAAAGGAAACTGTTGCCTATTTCTGTGCCCATTTCGAAGAACAACTGAACATTTACAAAAAACAGGTGGGCTTTGATCTACAGTAGTAAAATGTTCCTTCATCTTTAGAAATAACTATCTTTTTCTTTAAATTTCATAAAAATAACATTGTACTATTCAAAATTAAAGCATTTGTCATGATGTTAAACACATTTAAGCTAAGAGTTTTCTTAATATTCTTTAAGAATAATCATTGAGTCAGCTACCTTTTTTTTTTTTTTTTTTTAAGAGATTCTGTCTTACTATATTGCCCAGGCTGTACTCAAACTCCTGGGCTCAAGCAATCTTCTCTCCTCAGCCTTCCTAGTAGCTGGGACTACAGGCACATGCCACTGTGCCCAGCTGAGTCCACTACTTTAGACTGTGTTTGGATAGCGTGAAGAGATTAGACTATCAATTAATTATAACAATCTAAGAAGCATCTAGACCAAGGAATGAAAGTCATGTCTCAGTACCACCTACAGTTCCACATCCTAGAGATAACTTGTTATGTATTTTTCAGTATCTTTTTTTCTCTGCTCACCTTCATATGCACTCCCATATAGGAATGCAAGTGTATAAACCAAAATCAACTGAAAACTGGTAGGTGAGATACAAGTTCAACGATTTTGATACAAGACGAATATATAATAGTAATGCTGTTATCCATTAGCAATGACCAGTGTGAATGAGTAATGCCGTGTAATGTGTAATGAACAGGTAAATGCATTTTTTTTCAGCAACAAAAATGAAATAGGAAGAAACAACCTAAAATAACATACAAAAAGATAGCATGTATATGGAGGAAAAAAAGAAAAAAAACTACTGAAGAACACAACAGAAAACCTGACTTAAGTGGAGAGAAAATACCATGTTCCTGGAAGGGAAGTCTCAATATTAAATAGATTTCAGTTCTTCTAAATTAATATATAAATTTTGGGCAATCACAAAGTCTTAGCAGGGACATAGCAAACCCTCAGGTTGAAAAAATTATGAGGTTTGATGATAAGAGTTAAAGGGGCGAGTATTTAGGTTTTGAAATAACTGTCACACATTGGTTGAAGGAGCATAAATTGGTACAGCCATTTTGAAGGTATTATCAATTAAATTAAACATACTTACATTGCTTAACCCAGTAATTTTAATTTTTGATATCTATCTTATATACCCTATACAAAAATCAGTTGAGATGGATTATGAACCTAAATGTGAAAGGTTAAGCAATAAAGCTTTTAGAAGAAAAAATAGAACATCTTTTTGACCTGGTATCTTAAATAGGACTTTAAAAAGCACTAACTATTGTCTTCCCATGTTTCCAATGTATTATTATGTATCACATATTTTATTCGTTATTTAATAAGAGGTAATGCCCATCTAGGAGATAGTTTTTATTTTTAAAAAAACACTCTAATGAAAAAATTGACAAATAGACTTTAAATTTGTTTTTATTAAAACTTTACTAAATTATAAATATTAAAATACTATTGTAAATATTATTCAAATTGTATTAAAATTATATATGGCTTTAGAAAACACCATAGTGAAAAATAAATGACAAATTTGACTTTATTAAAATAAAAAACTTTTGTTTGTTAAGGCATAAGAGAGGCCGGGTGTGGTGGCTCTTGCCTGTTATCCCAGCACTTTGGGAGGCCGAGGCAGGTGGCTCATGAGGTCAGGAGATCAAGTCATCCTGGCTAACACAGTGAAACCCCGTCTCTAACAAAAAATTAGCCGGGCGTGGTGGTGGGCGCCTGTAGTCCCAGCTACTCGGGAGGCTGAGGCAGGAGAATGGCTTGAACCCGGGAGGCGGAGCTTGTAGTGAGCCGAGATCACGACACTGCACTTCAGCCTGGGCGACAGAGTGAGGCTCCGTCTGAGGCTCAAAAAAAAAAACACAAGAGAATGGAAAGGCAGTTCACAAAGTGGTAGAAGATATTTAAGATTTTTCAGTGTATGTGTGACAAAGGTCTTACATGTAGAGTATATTTAAAAATGCTGGCCAGGTGCGGTGGCTCATGCCTGTAATCCCAGCACTTTGGGAGGCCGAGATGGATGGATCATGAGGTCAGGAGTTTGAGACCACCCTGGCCAGCATAGTGAAACCCTATCTCTACTTAAAATAAAAAAAAATAAAATAAAATAGAATACAAAAAATTAACCGGACATGGTGGCTGGTGCCTGTAATCCCAGCTACTCGGGAGACTGAGGCAGGAGAATTGCCTGAACCTAGAAGGCAGAGGTTGCAGTGAGCCGAGATTGTGCCATCGCACTCCAGCTTGGGCGACAGAGTGAGACTCCGTCTCAAAAAAAAAAACCTATACATTTATTCAAAAGGATGTACAACCCAAAAGAGAGCTGGACAAAAGAGGATATCCAGAAAGTCAACAGATGTATGCAAAAGGGCTCCACTTCATTAACTGTCAGGAAAATGCAAATTAAAGCCACTACTCAACACAACAGAATGGCTAACATAAAGTCAGGAAGCCTAGGTAACATGGAGAAATCCTTTCTCTACCAAAAATACAAAAATTAGCTGGGCACAGTGGGATGCACCTGTAGTCCCAGCTACTCAGGAGGCTGAAGTGGGAGAATCACTTGAGCCCAGGAGGCAGAGGTTGCAGTGAGCCAAGGTCATACTACTGTGCTTCCAGCCTGGGTGACAGAGCAAGACTCTGTCTCCAAAAAAAAAGAAGGTGGAGGGAATACCAAATTTTGACAAGGGCGTGGAGCAACTGGAACTGTAATAGAAAAAATTGTTAAATCTGTCTGAGAGAAACATATTCAGTCAAGGAGGCATGAACACGGACACTCATTGCAGTGTAGAAACAACCTAATTGTTCATCAGGAGGACAGTGGGTGGGAAAATCAAGCATGGCGCATCTAAAGTATTGAATATAAATGGTGGAAAAGAATGAGGTAAATCCACGTGTACTAACATGGGAAGATCTTAAAATCACCTTGTGGAGTAAGAAGAGAAAACTTTAACAGCATATGGTATGTTAGCCATTTAAAAAATCCCACAAAACAAAATTAGGTCATTTACATACAGGCGGTCTCTTCCATCTATTCTAACCACACACATATGACATGCATATTTGTACAGAAATGCATTTATGTGGGCTGAATGGGGACACACCCAACTGGTAACAGAGGTTACCTCCAGGGAGGGCCATGGCATTGGGTTGTGGTCAGGAAGGATTTGACCTTATTTTACATTTGAATTTCTTTCAATGTGAATAAATTCATGAATTAGTAATATGTGTAATTATAAGTAGCTATAAATAATAGAGGCTGTCTCTACAAAAAATTAGAAATTAGCCAGGCCTGGTGGCGCATGGCTGTAGTCCCAGCTACACAGAAAGCCAAAGTGGGAGGATCACTTGAGCCCAGGAGGTGAAGGCTGCAGTGAGCCATGATTGTGCCACTGCACTCCAGCCTGGGTGATGGAGTGAGACTCTGTCTCCAAAATAAATAAGTAAATAAGTAAAATTAAAAAATAAAAATACAATAACGAATAAACCACATTTTAAATGTAACGTGCAATTATAAAACAACACAATATTAAGGTGTGTAAGCAGAGGAAATAACCGTTTCCCACACACATCCCTGCTCCCTGTTGACTTTCACATCAATTTTCTAGGTGTGTGTATTGAACAGACACTTCCTTATTTCTAACAGTACCCCAACAGTGTTCATTTTTCCACCTTTTCCTGAGTAATTGCTTTCCAGGGCGATGGGCCCACGGTCGGTCTGACTCAGTCATGGTGGTCCCATTGCTCTCACCAGTGATTGGTTCAGGCGTGCACCTGTAAGTCCCCTGGGAGGCTTCTGGGAACAGGTTTCCTGCTCTAATAAGAGATACAGCAACCAATAGTCCCCCTGTGGTTGCTGTGTCTGGGTTTCATGTGGAACTGCTACAGCTCTCTCAAGACTGTGAAGGAACCAGCCTCAGGATCAGCCAGTATGCTGGCAGAATAAAAAAGATGGGAAGAATGGCAGAGTAAAGGGATGGAAAGAACCTGTGTCCTTAATGGTATTGGGAATCACTGTTAAGCCATGTTGGAACCGTCCTACTTCCAGACTTGTTCTGAGGTATGAGTCAGTTGACTCAAATTTGTCATACGCAGCAAAAAAACCACCTTGACACACGCATATACACAATTAAAAACTCAAGTCAAAACAAAACTATGCCATATATACGATTGTACCGCTGTTTTCATTTAAGATCTCATGGCTGCTGTTTAGCCATTTCTCTATTGGTGGACCTTTAGGATATACTGGTTATTTTGCTGTTAATATTATAAAAATTCTCCAGAAAATGTCTCTTTTTTTAAAAACTCCATGAACTAGGAACAGAAAGCATTTTATATATTTTGGGAACTTGTACGTTTTATAGAATGAATTTATGTTGAAATTGCTGGATCAGACAGTATGTATATTTAAACTTGATGCTCACCACTCTTTTGCTTCTGAAAAGAGCATACCAGTTTTTTGTTTTGTTTTGTTTTTTGTTTTAAAGCAGCAGTAGGAGCTAGTGCCCATTTCCTCACATATTGACCAGTGCAGTCTGTGTTTAGTATTCACATTTGCCTAGATATAGATGAAAATTCATTTTCTGTTTTAAATTGCACTTCTTTGAGTATTAAAGTTATCATCTCTTCATTGAGTATAGGTTCAGAAATTGTAGTTTCATGTTTATTAGCTATTTGTATATTTTCTCATGTGGATTTCCTCTGTATCCTTTACCCATTTTTTTCCTTATTGTATTTAGGACTCTTTATGCATTATTGGTTTTTATGTTGCAGGTGTATTCTCCTAGGTAGCACTTTGCTTTCTTACCTTTGCTTATACTGTCATTTGGTACACAGGCTTAAAATTGTTTAATGTTATGCTTAGAAAGTCATGCCCCAACCTACGTTTATGGAAACATTATTCCAAGTTATCTTCTAGCTCTGTTATAACTAGAAATACTATTTAGATTATTAATGCATCTAGAATTTATTTGTGTATAATTAATGAGGTAGGGAGCTAATGTAAGTTTCTCCTTACCCCACACATAGACATCCCAGTATCATTTACAGACTAGTCCATATTTGCCCCACAGTGGTATCGTGAGCATATCTTAGATTCTTCAGTGTTTACCTAGGTCTGCCTTTGGGCCACCACTCCTGTTCTGTTGAGTCACTTATCTATTTCTACATTAGTATGACAGTTTTAATTGCTACAGATTTAGAGTATGTTTTGCTCTCCAATGGGGCAAGTCCCTTTTTTATTATTAGTTTCCAAATTTTTTCCACGTATTTACTCTTCCAGATGAACTTTTGAGTTGTCAAGTTCATTAACAGATCCTGATGGAATTTTGATTGGGATGGTTCAGTGTATAGATTAATTGGTGGAGACTTGAAATCTTTACAGTATTGAACCTTGCTGCCTAGCAACATGGTATATGTTTCTGTTTGTTCAGGTTTTCTATCATATGCTTTATGTACTTCAGCAGCATTTTATCATGTTCAGTATTTAGGCTTTCTATATTTCTTTTTAAATCTAGATATCTAAAATATTTGCTATTACAAAGGACCTTGTTTTCATTATTTCATTCTAATTGGTTATTGCAAATGTATAGAAAAGCTATTACTGTCATTGATGTCAATTCTCATAAACTTAAATGTAGGTAACAAATGAAATTTTATAGGAAAAAAATTGATATTAGAGTGAATTAATTTCTAAGCATGGCTATAAAGTATTTCTAACACATAATTCCAAATTGTTAAAAACCACATTATGATTCTAACATCTAATTAAACTTAATTTTTTCTGTTTCTTTGCTCTTATAGGTTATTATTAACTTGGTAGACCAGGCAGGAAGAGAGAAGATTATTGGCGATGCTTACCTGAAGCAAGTGTTGCTTTTCAATAACTCACACCTCACTTATGTTTCCTTTGACTTCCATGAGCACTGGTAAGATGGCTTTCTGAGAATAGTGTTGATCAGTTGCAGTGTTTTCCAAACTGCATTAAATAGCATATCTTAAGTTTTAAAAAAAATCTATGATTAAATTAAAGATTTTTTCTTTCTTTTGGCATGGATTTTAGCCGAGGAATGAAGTTTGAGAATGTTCAGACCCTAACAGATGCCATTTATGACATTATTCTTGATATGAAGTGGTGTTGGTAGGTATTTTACAAGAATTCCTTTTTACAAACTCTGGGATCTGTGAAATCATAGTGCCACTGGGCATCAAACTGATAACAGTATGCAGAGACGGCATTTTTTTGTTGTTGGTTTTGCTTCCCAGTTCCTATTCTTTTCAAGAGAATGTTGTTGACCCTTAGGCAGGCGGTGTTAGCTTTGAACAGGGAGAAGGTGTGAAATGGTCAGGCCAAATGAAGTGAAACACTCTGACTGTTCTTTAAGGAGATGAATTTATTCCTTCTCATGCCCCATGGTCCACATTTTCTCTTTCTCCTCTTACTGTTCCTAACACAGGAAGGAAGGCTTAGAGGTACTTGGTCTCAGTTTTCAGGCATTTCAAAATTATCGGAGACGGAAAATGGTTCTGAATACAGGAAGTTTAAATTGGCTTAAAGTACAGAACAGAACATTCGATTAGATGTTAAGACTACACGGATGGCCAGAGAAATGAGATGAGCAAGCCATGCTGCATGACTCCTCACTGGGTGGTAAAATAACTTCGTCTGTTTCGGAGAGTTTAGATGCATTTCTACTTTAAAGGAACAACGGTGTTTTAAAGTGCCTTCTGGTTTTTTACATGTAGGAAAACATAACTTGGGATGATGTCAGCTCTGCCTAGTAGTTGTAGGACTTGGGGCAAGTCACTTTGCACCCCAATTTTTTTTTTCCCTTAAGATGAGGATGATATCTTCCTTGCGATGTTATTGTGTAAATTAACAATGATGTCTATAAATGACTCAATAATGCATAGCATATAAAGATATACCAAGCAAATTACAGCCAATGCTGCTGTTTTCTTGTTATACTTTAAAGACTTGTGTCTTTTGAAAACCCTATTATTTTATATTGTAAAATAATTCTGTATTATTTTTAAAAAGGGTTGATGAAGCTGGGGTAATATGTAAGCAGGAAGGGATTTTTCGTGTTAATTGTATGGACTGCCTGGATCGCACCAACGTGGTCCAAGCTGCCATCGCGAGAGTGGTCATGGAACAGCAGGTAATTTGGAGTCTGTTGGATTGCAAATACTTATTTTGAAATGCTTTTTTTCCATGAGTAAGTAAATAGCTAAATATTTTTCAAATGTCAAATATTCTATAGAATGCTTACAGCATACAAACACCCTTGTTGCATTAAAACCTGGAAAGCACAACCTGCACTGGAAATAAGTTAAATATTATTTGAGATTTTCTTAATCACTCGTTTCAAAAATGTGACGACCAACATTTTAAAGTCCGTTGGGTGGCACTGTGTGGTCATTTACCTTTTCTCTCTTACCTCCAAGCCCACCCTTCTGTGTTTGGGGCTGGGAGTCTTGATATTGCATTTCTTTTTCTTTTTTCTTTTTGAGATGGAGTCTTGCTCTGTTGCCCAGGCTATTGGGGAGGGAGCTGCTGACGGGAGGAACACAGGTGAAGGAACCTGTGTCTTTTTCCTCCTCCTGCGTCATGGGCTTCCTTGAGTGCCTCTTATTGGCAGATCCAGCAGGCCAAGCAGAAATGTGGTATGTAGGCTGGGCGCAGTGGCCCATGCCTATAATCCGAGCACTTTGGGAGGCTGAGGCAGGTGGATCACCTGAGATCAGGAGTTTGAGACTAGCCTGGCCAAAATGGCAAAACCCCCCATCTACTAAAACCCCCTCCCTCCTAGCCGGGCATGGTGGCAGGCATCTGTAGTCCCAGCTACTCGGGAGGCTGAGGCATGAAAATCACTTGAATCCAGGAGGCGGAGGTTGTAGTGAGCCCAGATCATGCCACTGCACTCCAGCTTGGGGGAGAGAGTAAGACTCTATCTTTAAAATAAAAATTAATAAAATAAAATACATAAAATAACCTTGTGACTGTACTTTGAGGACATGAATCTGTTTATCTTACGTAGTGTTTAAGCCAGGTTTGAGTTTAAGCCCTGACTCTGCCACATACAAGGTTTTGACTCCGTACAAAGAACTTAACCTCTCCAAACCTCAGTCTCATCATTTGTAAAATGTAGGTGATAACAGTAGTGATTACATAGTGTTGTTAGGACTAGTGAATGTGAAAAAACAGTGTAAAAAAACTCTTACAACCCTATCCTTGGCACAGAGTTAATACTTAGCAGGCACTTAACTATTCTGCCACTATTAGTATTGTTTCTGTGTGCTTTTTTGATATTCAGTTTCACTTCATAGGCAAATTTAAAACAAAGACAAAATATAATAGTATGATTCTGCACATTAAAAATTGTACCAAAACGGTATAAATATTTCATTATATGTATTCACCTTGTAGCAATGTATAAAGCCATCCTTCAAGCCCCGCTTCATTAACGAGTCCGAAAAGACCGTTTCTTGTATCTAAGGGTCCTGAATTGTATGTGAATATGTTTCCTTTTCCTGCAGTACACATTTTTTTGCTATGGTTTCCTGGCCCATATACAGTTAATCCACCAATGTGTTCATTTTAGCTGAAAAAATTAGGTGTGATGCCCCCGGAACAGCCATTACCTGTGAAATGTAATCGCATCTACCAGATAATGTGGGCCAATAATGGTGACTCCATTAGCAGACAGTATGCTGGGACGGCTGCTCTGAAGGTAAATACTTGCAGCAAGCATCTGTGGGTCCTTATGTAGGACACAGGTTAGACTGTGGTTTAAAACCACAGAAAGGTATGTGGGCTCCGGGGTGGGGGTGTGTATAGTTGACTTTTTTCTGAAATGTTTGGCTAAGGCAGGGCCAGGTAATGTGACTCAAGCAGGCCACGCATTAAATCAGAGGGAGAGGGGGCTGTGTGGACCTGAGGAGGAGTGTGTGCTCTCTCTGGAGGGGCCTGTGTTGCCAGACCCTCCAGTTTTTCAAGGGATTCTGGAAATCCAGAATTTTATATGAAATGGTTAGTTTTCAAAACTGACAGAACAGAGCATGTCTGCTGGCAGGTTTTGGCCACCAGTGTCATACTTCGTCTTTGAGTTTGAATCCCAACCCTGCCTCTTAACTAGCTGTGACCTTGGGCAAGTCACTTAACCACTCTGATTTGTCACACAGGAATTATACCAGACGTATTTCAAAAGACTGCTATGGGATCATATGAGTCAGTGCGTGTAAGGGCTTAGAATATTCTCTGACACACGTAAATGCAGAAGAAATGTTTTAGTTATTGTTAAAAGTCTTTTGAAGATCCTATAGAGCTAGTCCTCACAGAATATTAAGTTAAATATAAAATACATTCTCTAGTAAATAAATTCCTCCATCTGAGGGCGTTGTCCTCTGTGGCAGTCGGAAGTGTTAGAATTTGTTTAAATTAGGTTTATGTTAATCATTCTTCAAGGTTCGAGTTCATCTCAAGGTACTTCTTATACAGATTGTACCATCAAGGACTTAACAGGCATCAGTCCTTTTTTTGCGTTGAGTGATAAATATCAAAAGCTTTTTATTAATTACAGAAGGTAAACTTTAGAAGTCTTGGTATAGGCCAGGTACAGTGGCTCACCCCTGTAATCCCAGCACTTTAGGAGGCCGAGGCAGGTGGATCACCTGAGGTCAGGAGTTCAAGACCAGCCTGGCCAACAAGGTGAAACCCCATCTCTACAAAAATATAAAAATTAGCTGGGCATGGTGGCGTGAGCCTGTAATCTCAGCAACTCAGATGGCTGAGGAGTGAGAATCACTTGAACCCGGGAGGCGGAGGTTGCAGTGAGCCGAGATTGCACCATTGCACTCCAGCCTGGGTGACAGAGCAAGACTCTGTCTCAAAAAAAAAAAAAGGCCTGGTATAAGTTAGTGCTTAAAGTGAAATACTTCTCTTTTTTTCCCCTTGATTTTAAACTTCTTCGAGATGAGTATTCATACCTTTTTTCTGTAATGGAGACTTGTTGCTCTACTAATATTCCCTGTGACTGGCCTAATTGGCAGCATGTTCTTCCTAAATTGTCAGTTTTAGGATTGAGATTTCTGAGATTGCCTTGGAGAGAAATGGAGGGGTTGGGATAGGGAAAAAGAAACTACACCTGCCTTGCCTTAAGTTTAAGTCACCACTTGTCTAGGGACTTGCTCTGACATCTTTGTTGTGAAAAGTGCAAGGGAAACAAAACAGTTTAAGTTGTCACTGGGTTCTGCAGGTGCTGGTGATGTGCAGCAAGGTATGGAAACCCCTGCTTTTCCTCCCTGTGTAGAGCTCCTCACCTACACACCCAGGCTGAAAGCCCATTGTGATAAACTCTAGGGAGCTATCCACATTTTCCCACATCAGAAACTTGGTTTTTGAATATTGCACCAGCTTGAGATGTAAATAGTTTTTATTGTTTTGGTGTTTGTCATATAATTGGTTTTGACCTGTAAATTCTAGAAATTCTACAAATTGCTAAGAATGGCTTTACCCTAAGGCACCATCTAACTGTGAAGACTTGATGCCACAAATAGCATGTGTAATTATTTGACGAGCTTAGATCAGGGTAGAATACTAGTAGATATTTTAATTTAACTATACTATTTGAAAATTATAAAAGTCAGACCTTGGAAATTACAAAAGCCTGTAGAATTCCATACTTGAACTGAAAGCTCACAATTTATTTTGGGGGCATTCTTGTGTTTAAATAAGGTGTCAAAATGAGTTTTTGTTTGACAGGGTGACTTTACAAGGACAGGAGAAAGGAAGTTAGCAGGAGTTATGAAAGATGGAGTGAACTCAGCAAACAGATATTACCTCAACCGATTTAAGGATGCTTATAGGCAAGCTGTTATAGGTAAGAAGCAGAAAAGCTTTTCTTTCCTCAAAATTTATGTCTTCTGTGACTAATACTTTACAGAAACCAGCTTCATTAACATAATTCATGTTTTGTAATATACTTGTGTTTCTGTATTGAGCATCTTACCCAATACATCAAATTCAAATTTTTACAAGATTAGAATTTGACAAATATTTTTGGCTGGAGCAACAAAAGAAACCATCTATTTTCCATGCATATTCGTCAGTTTGTTACCCAGGTAATAGAAAGCAGGGTTTGAAGCTCCTGGAGTGTGGAATAAGGTACCCTAAAATCTCAACAATTTAAAACTTCTTATTCCATTTGTTTTCTCATTACTCAAGACTGAGCAATGTAACCAGATTATTTTTCCTGTATGCTATTTGTTGTATGTTCTTGCTGTGGACAAATATACCAGCCTTTTCCATAAGCATGGTTTAACAGAATATTAGGGTACCAGATTTAGAGATTACCCTAACCAACTCATTTTTTTTTGGAAGAGGAAATGGAAGGATAGATTGCCCAGTAGAATTTATGCATTGACATTTTTTAAATTTAATTTTCATGAAGATGTTACTGTATAGGATTAAAGTAAATGCAGAGTGTTCTGGATTAGAACCAAATGTAATATAGCTGACCTGTGGTCCCTGAGGGTCTTTTTGAAATCTTATTTCTTCACCTGATTATTTAGTGCACACATCAGTCTAGTAGGGCCTAGACATAGGCCACTTAGGAATTTGAGAAGTGTGATGTAAAGAAGTTTGATTCATTTGCCAGACATGGAGGGTGCACGCTGTGACTACAGAATTGGATTTTAGCAGTTGATATTCAAGGAAAAAAGAAGGTATCTTGCTTCCATTGGTTGACCTAGCTACTCAGTTATATCATTGAGGACCCCAGTTCTGTCTCCTCTCAGTTCAGCCATCCATAGCATCAGCTGCATCCAGATCCTGAAGCTGGCTGAGAGATATTCAAGGTTGAGCGATAGAAGCCAGTAGCAATCTGTGCTTGTCTCTTTCCTGTGTAGGGCCAGTGGTTGGCAGATCTTTTTTCACCGAAGCCTCCTTGAGTGTCATTGTCCCATGAGACAGTGAGATAGGGAGGATAGGGAATGGGATTATAATGATTTATTAAGGCTGCGCCGCATGCCCTGCCAAGAGGAAGTTAGCTTGTCTGTTCAGATCTTTGCTCATTTTACAACTGGCTTATCTTTTTATTATTGATTTGTAGGGGTTCTTTATTCTAGATACAAGTCCCTTACCAGATAGATGAATTGTAAATATTTTCTCCTGTTCTAGGGGTCATCTTTTCACTTTTGTGATGGTGCCCTTTGAAACACAGTTTTTAATTTTTATGATGTCCAATTTGTTTTTTTCTTTTGTTGCTTATGATTTTAGTATCATACCTTAAAAATCATGCCTAATCCGTCACAAAGATTTATGCTCGTGTTTTCTTCCAAGAGCTTTACAGTTTTAGGTCTTATACTCTTTTGTTTTTTAAAAATATATTAGTAAACTAAAATGATGATAGATATTAACAATTCCACCCTAGATTTGATGCAAGGCATTCCAGTGACAGAAGATCTTTATTCCATATTTACCAAGGAGAAAGAACATGAAGCTTTGCATAAGGAAAATCAGAGAAGCCACCAGGAACTAATTAGCCAGCTCTTACAAAGTTACATGAAGTTACTACTGCCTGATGATGAGAAGTTCCATGGGGGCTGGGCCCTCATTGACTGTGACCCCAGGTAAGTTGGAGTGGTGTCCAGGTGACCAGCTTGCTTAAAGGATGTTGGGAAGTTGTCATGATTAACACTGGCAATTGTCCCTAAAGCTGTGGGCATGGATGCATGGCGCTTGGCTGTTTCCTCTATGGGCTGGTAGTAAGGCAAGCTGACTGAGGCACTTGCCTTGGATGCAAAATTAAGGAGGCTCTAAAAACTTGGTAATGAAGAAAAATATTTTGGTGCAGTATTTGATTAAAAAAAATTTAAACTGCCGAACTACAGCCTGCAGCGGGCTGTGGGTTTCCCCCTCCCTGCCCTAGAATCTAGGTTTATTGTATTACTGCACATAAGTGAGTGCAACAAGAGGTGCAGTGAGGCTGGGTATTTTTATTGGTTATAAAGTGGTCCTGGCCTTGCATAAAATAAATAGGCCAACTAATATTCTTTTTTTTTTAAAAAAATAACAAAAACCATCCAGTTTCAAGTGGTTCTTAAAAATATCAATGAATAGCGGGATCTAAATTTATCCACTAGATTGAATGCTTGCCTTTAGGCTGAAATCTAAAATGATAATCTTTAATATTATAAATCAGAAACATTTTAGGAAATTGTAACCCAAGCTTTAAGAATAAAGCACTCTAGTTCGATTTTATCTCATACATTTTGCGTGTTTTTAGTAAGAGGGGCATAAAATGTGCTTGAAAATACAATTAAATGAAAGATAGTATTTATGTATTAAAAGGAATAAAAAACAACATTGACTTGTGGATTCATAGGGAAACATCCCATGACATTAAACCCATGGATTTTTTTCACTTTGATAGTAAATACTGTTATGTATGGATGTAATTTGTGGACTTCAAAAATAAGAGCTGAAGTTTTCCTCACACACAACCTAGCAGAAGGGTTTTGTGTTTGTTTAAGTCATTTGGTAAAGCTATTTTGATTCACCTCCTTCACTTGTTTTTTTTTTAGTGGCAGCAATCCAAGTTAATGTAGCACCAAAAAAAAAAAAAAAGAGTACTTTTAATTCCCATTCAAAAATAACTGCTGGCAGCACACCTGCATTTTTCTTGAGTTTTAACTGCACTTAGATTTTTAAGAGGGTATCAATATCATCATGATTGTCAATATCATCTTTCTTCAATCAAGTATTTTTGTGTCTACTTTGGGATAATCAAAATTGGGGAAAACCAAAAGGTTTCTTTCTAGTGCTGGCTACCATTTTGTAGGGTACATTGCACTTGATGATTTGATTTCCAATTCTGTAGTTTTTATGGAAAATTGGTGCCGTGGGGTGAAGAGTATTAAAAAATGTAAAGTGTATATAGCTTTGCTATTTAAAGTTTGCAACAAAGTTTGGGTAAGGATGCTTTAAGAGTCATTAGAAGCCTCTTGCAAAGATTCATAAAAACATACTTATTTCTGACAATTGTATTAATCAAAATAATGAATAATGGTATGGTGGCTTGCACCTATAACCCCAGCACTTTGGGAGGCCGAGGCAAGAGGATCATTTGAGTCCAGGAGTTTGAGAGCTCATCTCTACAAAAAAATTTTAAAATTAGCCTGGTGTTGTGATGCATGCCTATAGTCCCAGCTACTCAGGAGGCTGAGGAGGGAGGAACTCTTGAGCTCAGGCGTTTGAGGCTGCAGTGAGCCATGACTGCAGCACTGAACTTCAGCCTGGGTGACAGAGTGAGAACCTGTCTCAAAAAAAAAAAAAAAAAGTGTGGTGAAACAAGAATAGTCCTCTAGGATTAGGTCTTTAAATCACTGGCTGGGCACTGTAGCTTATACCTGTAATCCCAGTGCTTTGGGAGGCTGAGGTCGGAGGGTCACTTGAGGCCAGCAGTTCAAGACCAGCCTGGACAATATAGTGAGACCCTGTCTCTTAAAAAAAAAGTCACTGTTGGGTGATTAGAGTCTCAAATCTTTTAAGTTCTCAGCCACCAAATATCTGCCTCAGAAATACCATTGTGCTTCAGTTTTCTTTTATTCACTAACGTGATGAAATGCTTCTCTTTTTTTTCCCTGATTTTTGACTCCCACCTCTTTCCAGTGCCCAGTAAATGCATTTCCTATTTTTCTTTAATCCAGCACTATAGAATTTGGCTTTCTGGTAACAGAGAACAGTGAGTATCTTCTGTTCTTCTTTAATTAAAGTTCCTAGGGCCGAGTGCGGTGGCTCGTGCCTGTAATCCCAGCACTTTGGAAGGCTGAGGTGGGCAGATCATGAGGTCAGGAGTTCGAGACCAGGCCAGCATGGTGAAACCCTGTCTCTACTAAAAATAAAAAAATTAGCTGGGCATTGTGGCGCGTGCCTGTAGTCTCAGCTGCTTGGGAGGCTGAGGCAGGTGAATTGCTTGAACCCGGCAAGCAGAGGTTGTGGTGAGCCAAGATCACGCCATTGTACTCCAGCCTGGGCGACAGAGTGAGACTCTGTCTCAAAAAAAAAAAAAAAAACCCGAAAAATAAATAAATAAAAAAAAATAAAGCTCCCAATGAAGAATAGCTTACCATCAGTCACACGTAACTTAGCATCAGTCATGTGTGTTAGTGAAGGCCAGTGCATTCTTCCTGTTGCTCATTGCTGCATTTGGGCTGTACAGCTGAGTTCTTCCCCGAAAAGCAGCTGCCCACTCTTCCTTCGTGACAAGTGAGGCCGAAACACATGCATTCAGTGTGTTACCAGGTTTTCAGCACATAGGGCTCCCCCTAAAGATGACCCAAATAGTCTCACATGGCATGATGGACAATGAAACCTTTAAGTTACTTTGTTCAGTACTTATCACTGCTTTGTCTGTAGATGCTAACCTGGTCCAGGGCTTACAGCTGCCCCACTGCGGGTCTCAGGCTGAGCTTTCTGCTGAGTTTGCCTTTTAGTTGTATTTTTGTATCTTCTACTTTTTTTTTTTGACAGAGTCTTGCTCTATCGCCCAGGTTAAAGTGTAGCGGGACAATCTCGGCTCACTGCAAATTCCGCCTCCTGGGTTAATGCCATTTTTCTGCCTCAGCCTCCCAAGTAGCTGGGACTACAGGCCCCCGCCACCACGCCCGGCTAATTTTTTGTATTTTTAGTAGAGATGGGGTTTCACCGTGTTAGCCAGGATGGTCTCGATCTCCTGACCTCGTGTTCTGCCTGCCTCGGCCTCCCAAAGTGCTGGGATTACAGGCATGAGCCACCGCACCCAGCCCTCTACTTCTTTATTCTTTTATTTTAGGATAGCTTCCATTGGGGGCCTCTGAGTCTCCCAATTACTTTCCAATTTGTTGTCGGATTCCCTGACTCTCTTGCTCAGATGTTGCTACATAGTGTTTTCTCCTCTGATTCTTTCTTAGATGATCAGTTGCCAAGAATGATTGTGAGAGTATTCTTCACCTATGTTAAGTGCCAGAACCTCCACTGCCATCCTTCTCTTCTTCCTTGTGGTCATCGGTGTCCAAAATAGACTCGTCAGAGTCATTGGCCCAGTGATTCCCTTTGATCTTCATCCTTTGGGACACTGAAAGATTCTGAAGATTTTCCCATCAGTGCAGGAATTGTTAGCTGAGGTGCTGTCTTTCCTGATGTGTTGCTGGTTGTGAAAATGTTGTCTTCTCTAATGTGTAAACCGGTGTCTGATGCAGAGTGGTTCTGTCTGTTGGCTCTCAGTCCAGAGAAGCTGACTTGGGTTTAAGGCAGAGATGGGCGGGGGAGCTCCGTCACTAACCAGGACAGCAGGAGTGTCTGAGGGAATGATATGTTGATTGTCAAGAGGAGGAGGTAGAACACGGGACACAAGGATCATAGACTTGTGGAATTTGTGTGTGGTCTGCTCTTTGGAGACAGGCATGGTTGCTAAATTTTGAGACTCTCCACTCTGTTCCGGAAGGATCTCCTCTAAAGCTCACCATGCCAGACTGGTTGCATCTCATAATGGTTGAGGTGTTGGCTGCTTGCTAGATTTTCCTTGCTGTTGGTGGTCCCCATGGTTAATGTTTTGCTAGAAACTTGTTCCTTTGAAGGTTGGGGACAGGAAGAGGTGGACGTAGGAGCCAGCGAAGCCAATGTTTTGGAGCCAGTGGCTTCTCAGGTCGTTTTCCTTGGCTTGTGTAGCAGGATGAGGGCTGCCTACCAGGGGTCTTGGTATTTTTTTTAGTGGAAGGCACTTAATCTCCCTATGGCTGGCTCCACTGTGAGCCCCTTTTGGAGAGCCAGGTGGTTTAGGGATTTAGGCTGGGGCTTAGGAGGAGTTGGAGGAGGTGGAGCAGGAGCTGGGTCTCAGAATGGTTTTCAAGCGGTCTCTTTTCTTCTAGAGGGTGCTTTTTCAGATAGAGAACTGTTACCTTCTTCCTACATTTTCCTCTCCTGTGGATTACTCTCGGGGGAGACAGCGGGTATCATGTGCTGTTTGAGTTTTCAAAGTAACTACTGCGTTTCTATCTTGATTACAGAATTCTTTAGCAACTCCTCTTCGTACAGGCACGTCTTTGTCTTGTGGGTGTGATTCTTTGTAATACTGCTGATATTTCTTTGAATTTGCCATCGATATTTTTCTTCCACTTACTGCAAGGCTTACAGATTTTTCTAATGGTGCTGTTTCCCTTTCTCTTGATGAGAGATTTGGAAACCTGCTCTTGGGACGAGTTTGCTATAGAACCTCTGTACAATCCATCAGCTCGGCTGGAGGTGTTGACCCAGAACAGAGGCTCCTGCTGGAGGACAAGAGGTGGCCCTGGAAGTGGCAGTGGGGGTGCAAGTCTCTGGAGAGCCAGCCAGTGGAAGGCTCAGCTGTCAGGCTTGGGAATTTGCTCTTACTGCCTGCCTGCCTCAACCATCCACTCGTGAAATATGTGTGTGCGTGTGTGTGTTTAAACAGTTTTATTGAGACATATAATTCATATACCATATAATTCACGTATTTAAAGCATGTAATTCAATGGTCTGTAGTATATTCAGAGTTGTGCAGCCATCACCATGGTCAATTTTAGGACATTTTCATCACCACAAAGAGAAGCCCCGTACCCTTTAGCTGTCACTTCCCTACGCTCCACACTCCCATCCCTAAGCAACCACTAATCTAATTCTGTCTCTGGATTTGCATATTCTAGACATTTCATTCAAGTGGAATAATATAATTATGTGACCTTTTGTGACTGGCTGCTTTCACTTAGCATAATGTTTTCCAGGTTAATCCATGTTGTGGCATGTGTCAGAGCTTCATTCCTTTTTGTAGCTGAATAGTATTTCATTATAGACCACATTTTGTTCTTTCTTCTGTTGATGGGCATTTGGGTTATTTCCACATTTTGACCATTGTAAATGGTGCTGCTATGAACATTTGTGTACAGGTTTTCGTTTGAACACCTGTCTCTATTAAATAGCTCTTTTGGGTGGAAATGGCCAGATTATCCAATAATCCTGTTTAACTTTTGAGAAACTGCCAAACTATTTTCTACAGTGGCCATGCCATTTTACATTTCCACCAGCAGTGTATTTCAGTGCATTCCAGTTTGGAGGGTTCCAGTATCTCCAGTCTTTGCCAATACTTATTCACTTATTTTCCTTTTTTTCTAATTGTAGTCATCCTACTTAGTGTGAAGTGGTATCTCATTGTGGTTTTGATTTGCATTTCCCTAATGACAAACGATGTTAAGGATTTTTTTTTTTGTACTGTTGGCTATTTCTGTGTCTTACTTGGAAAAACATGTATTCAAACCCTTTGCCCATTTTTTAATTGGGTTGTTGATTTGTAAATAGTTTTTTTGGGAACAGAGCTGGGATTAGGGTCAGGTGAGAGGTACGATTATGCAACTACAGGGGTGTATTCTATCTCTACTTAAATGTTTGCTGCTTTGTCCATCATATCATATTTTTGCATTTTGATTTTTAAAAATATTGCACTAATTGGTTGACAAAATTAATGACACCCTTTAAAATTTGTACCAGAGACCAGTACCTCCTCACTCACCTCACTGCAGCCCCAGCTGTGTTTAAATATCTGCTGGAAAAACAGGCAAGCAGTTTGGAAATGCGCGGTCCCAGCGGGGAAGTAGGCCTGGCTGCGGGGTCCCGGCCTAGGGCATTGGGCGCTGGATACAGAGAACTGGGAACCGGGAACTGTCCAGCACGCCCGTGCCTGTCCTGGCCCTTTTCCCTTGCAAGGCTGAGCGCAGCTCTGTTCGGGCCACCCTAGACGCACTCCGACCTAGAGTCAGAGTGCGCAGCTCTGTTCGGGCCACCCTGGACGCACCCTAGACCTCTCTGCCTTTCTTGTCCTTTCCCGCCCGTTATCGCAGGAAACCCCCGACTCTAGCGACAGCGGGAAAGAGACTCGGAGACTGGAGAGGCAACTGCGGACCTGCAGGGCCCGCGTCACCTCTCTGCGAAGCCAAGTGGTGTTCCCAACTTGCTTCGACTCGCTTCCGTGCGCTCAGGCCGACTGTCCGGTCCAGCCGTGGCAGTGGAGTGGCCAGGCACACGGCAGCCACTATCCTTTAGGCATGCGATGGCCTAGGGGCCAGACGCTCGGCGCGGTACCCTGGCCCGGCCCGCCAGCCTCCCCCTCTAGCCGCAGGCACTGACCCTGACGAAGGCGAAGGGGCCAGCAAACTCTCGCGGGAGTGGCCCCCCTGGCGCCCCTCCCCCGCCGGGCCGGGGTCCGTGCCCTCCTTGGAAGGCGTAGGATGCGCAGGATGGAGCGCGCATGCGCACTGGTCGCCAGCCGAGGCCGGAAGTGAGCGCCCGGAAGCTAGATGTGTCCCCTGGGCGTGACTTGGCACTGCCGCGTCGCAGTTGCCGCATTCGCCGCATTCGCTGCAGGCGCGAGGTTGGGTGCAGGCGGCTGTTTGAGCCTCGAGGCATCGACGGACGGACAGACGGACGGACGGACTGACGATGCCGCGCTCTCACAGGCCTCCACCTACCGCGCAGCGGGCTGCCACGGCCGCAGCAGCCGAGCCCAAGTCTGAGGGCGTTGTGGCTATGACTTTCAAGATTTTTCTCCTTTTTGCAGGACTTATGGTTAAAGTTCCTGTGGGGTTATATTTTTCCTGCAAATTACTTCTTTTCCAAAGTCTGATGTTGATGTCCCCAGAAGACAGCGGCTTTTACGCGACCATTGTCGCAGTGGTCGGGCTTCATGTGGTGCTGGCAATTTTCGTCTTCATAGTGTGGAAGGAGGGCTTGCCCCAGTGGCGGGAAAACAAAAACGAGTAGAGCAGCTTCTTCAGAGCTGCAAACCGGGGGGGGGGGGGGGGTGGGGAAATACCTAAAGGGTTTTTCGTCTTGTTTCTTGTTCGTATTGAACGTGCTTTTTTTTTTTAAGGGGAAGGGTGGGCGGGGAGGGAATTAAATATTTACTGCAGCTAAGACTTCAGTAAAATTGGGGGTGGGGGGAGGGTTGACATTTTCCGACTGCCTGTTACCTGCCAAGTGCTTTTTGTTAAGGACATAATGTTTTTGACTGGGGATCATGTTTGGCTGATGTAAATATTAATGCCAAAAGAGGAAGTCAGGGTGAAAGTAACACTGTAATTAGTAGTAGAATTTATTTCGTATTAAAATGTGTCGTGACGTAATTTTTATGGCTTGGCTCAAGCAACAATTTTCAGAGTGCACGTAAGTATCAATGCATAAAACTTAAGTACGTTTTACAGTGTTATGTGGTATTATTCTCCATGAGGCTGCTTGGATCGTTGTCCTTTTCCCATTGATTAGTTGGTTAATGCTCAGATTTTGGCTCCTAGAATCGATCTGTGTTTCCGGTCCTGGCATCTCATTATGTCATTTGTTGTATTTTTCGATACTATACGTGCAAATTGAGGTGAATTTGTTGTTTTAGATTAAAACTGTCAGATTCAAGCTACAACAAGGTGTCTCTGATGTAAAAAACTGCAGTTTAAGATTAGGGTAAATCCTTCCCTGCAGTACCTGTTAAACAGTGATCTCATTCTTACGCAGATTTAGTCCATGGTTTAAGTTTCACCTACAAACGCTTTTTTTCCACTATTATTTTCTGCTTGTATTTAGTAGCATTTTGATAAGGTCTAGGGAACAGGTATGAAATCCCAAGGGAGAAATGTCGTCTTTCTTACAGTGGAATTTGGAGACCAGTGTAAGAATGCAGAAACATCTCTACCTTTTGCTGGAAAGGCTATTATTGTTAGATTAACATTAGACTAAAAGTTTCATTTTAATTCAGATTCTGCCTGTGTTAATTATTTATAGATTTTATACTTCAAGAATTTTCTTATTGGTAATTTTACAAGGATGTACATTTTATTGTAGTTTTGGTTTCATGGTTCATCAACACTACCTGGATTCTGATTCTTATTTTCATAATTGATTTTAGAGTGGGTATAAACATGGCAAAATAGACTTAGAATAAGGGTGTTTGTTTATTGAAAGCCAAATAAATTAATCTATAATGACAAACATGCAAAAGTAGCTTGGACTTGTTCCATTTTTGCACATAAGTACTGTATTCATGTAAAAGTCTTTCAAAAGATGTATTCCACATGAATGTAAAGATATCCTGAATGTACAGTGTGTTATTTTGAAGATTAGATAATGTGAGATAATTAAGATTTCTCCCTTCTCACTCTCACGTTTTTCTTTTTTCTTCCCTTAACTATTTCTCTATCATCCTCCAATCCCACCACTCCCCCGCCTCAAATTATCCCATTTCCTGAGGGACTCCTTCCTCCTTTGGCTGCCTTTCTCTACTCTCCATCCCTCACTTCCCAGATCTGCTTTTCCTTGTTTTTTAAAGACTGTCCAAATGGATAGATTGTATTACATCTAACTGCAGTAGAACTCATTCTCTTCTTTTTTTTCCCTCCCCCTGGCCAATTTTTTTGTCCTAAGTATCTCTGCTTTAGAAATATGCTTGGCAAAAACTGCAGATGAAAATGAAAATATTAAACTCCTGTGTCATATTTGTTTAGCCTCATTGATGCTACTCACAGAGATGTGGATGTGCTGTTACTGCTTTCTAACTCTGCCTACTACGTGGCCTAGTAAGTTGCTTATTGATTTAAAGCTTTTGATTTTGTGTTTTAAATTTGAGAAAATTTTCTTTTTAGAATTCGTAACAAAAAAAATGAGAATATGGTTTTGTTATATATTTTATGAAACTTCATTGAACCCCTTTACCTTATATAACTGTTACGTCATTCTAACTCCCTTTTATCTTTATTGGTTTGAAAGCATGATTTTATAGTTAAATTAATGTTTATGTTGTATTCTTTTGGCATTTGGTATTGTTTCCTATATATCTCCCAGATTTTGATGTATTCCATACATTTTTATCACTAATGACCACATATCATTGTTTGTATTACTATAGTAAAGTTTTTCCTCACTGTTAGGTATTAAATTACTTCCAATTTTTTGTTGCTACGAATGATGCAGTTGTCTTTATGCAGTAACGTGTGTGCGTGTGTGTGTGTGTGCATGCATCTGCGCACTTCTTTGGTTACAAGCGTATGATGAATTACGACTTCTGTGGTTTGTTGTCAGATTGATCTCCAGAAAGACCCTGAATGAACAGTGCTAGTAGCAAAATACAAGCACTTGTTTCCCCACACCTTACCAGTATTTTTCTAATTTATATTTACTAAGTAAATATTCACTTTGGTTTTGGCTTTGTGTAAACTGTTATTTTTTAGTCATTTGCCCAGATGCCTGTTGGCATATATCATATGGATTTTTCATTCTTGATTTTGGATATCATATTTAACAGCTGTATTGTTCCCAAATACATAGTTTGTTTTTTTCTCTCTCTGTCTGCCTCCCTCTTTCCCCCCCTCCCTCCCTCCCTCCGTCTCTGTGTGTGTGCGCGCGCGCATGGGCGTGGGCGCATTTGCCTTGTAGGTTAGGTTTTAGGTTTGTTTTCATTTTATATGAGTTTTTATAAAACTTATTTTAACCTTGTAGTTGCTTTTTTTTTTTTTGAGACGGAGTTTCGATCTTTTTGCCCAGGCTGGAGTACAATGGCATGATCTCGGCTCACTGCAACCTCCACCTCCCGGGTTCAAGTGATTCTCCTGCCTCAACCTCCTGAGTAGCTGGGATTACAGGCATGCGCCACCATGCCCAGCTAATTTTGTGTTTTTAGGAAAGATGGGGTTTCTCCATGTTGCTCAGGCTGGTCTTGAACTCCTGACCTCGTGATCCACCTGCCTCGGCCTCCCAAACTGCTGGGATTACAGGTGTGAGCCACTGTGCCTGGCCCTAGTTGCTTTTTTTAACTGTTAGATCTGTGAACTTATTTTCCCTTAGCTGTTGAACTATATATGTTATTCTTGTTTAATTTTTAAAATAGTTCTTATGTTTAACATTTTACCCCAGAATGTATGTGCTGTGGAAGATTTTGTTAACTGTATGTATGTAACAGTTTGCAGCTATTGTGCCTTCCCTAATGAGCCAAATATGCTTTTGATTTAAATCCTCTTTTAACTTCATTTCCCTTTATCTAGTTATGATGATGAAGTTGATAAAGTAAACCAGTATCAACGACTAAGTCTAGAAGACCTGGAAAAAATCGAAATAGGTAAGTTTTAACTTACTAATCAAGTCATAAAAAGCAAATGCTGTTGTTTCCAAGAGGGGGTCAAATTATTTAAGCAAGTACCTGGTTTAAGTTTCACCTACAAATGCTTTTTTTCACTATTATTTTCCATTTGTTGTTAGTAGCATTTTGATAAGGTCTAGGGAATAGGTATGGAATCCTAAGGCAGAAATGTCGGCTCTTCTTACAGTGGAATTTGGAGACCAGTATAACATGTAAGAAACCAGAAAGGGATATTCCACGCTGTCTACTTCTTAGAACTTCCTTTCTATTCGTTATGGGTTAGTGATGGATATAGTCTTATCATAATAACCGTATTCCTTTTATTATTTACCTTGTGAAGATTACCCTAGGGACCAAGAAAGCTTAAATGATTGAGATTGAAAGAGTTTTTCTAGCTTTATTTATCAAAGCAAATGGTCACCAGAAGTTTGTATTTTGTGTGCTGTCATTTATATTACAAAGAAAAATGTGTTGGGTTTTTTGAAGATAATAGAAGAAAATGTTATGTGAAAGAGTTAACTTTATACATATTCGTTTGGGTTTTTAGGCCCTGAACCCACTCTTTTTGGTAAGCCAAAGTTCTCCTGCATGCGACTGCACTACAGATACAAAGAAGCAAGTGGCTATTTCCACACACTGCGAGCTGTAATGCGTAATCCTGAAGAGGATGGAAAAGGTAAAAAGAGGAAGTGAAAGTATTCAGTGAAAACTTTCTATTTATTCTTAAAAGCCCAAAAGGAATTGGGGACATTTCATATCACCAACGGAGTGAGAGAGGGTCCTGGGAATAGCTTTGGAATATGAGACCTTGAAATAGCAGCTCTGTTTCCAGCAGCCCAGGGAGATGATCTGAATGTGTTATTTAGTTTGGGGCAAAGTTCTCTTTAGCAGGGATTCTCAGTGAGTTTGGCCCCATCAGTGATCATATGGGTGTCAAGGCTCTTCACATGTCATGTTCTTTTCATCTGTAGCAGGCAGGAGCCATGCCTGCCTTGTCCATGGCTGTTGCCGCGGCATCTGTCACAGTGCTTGAACATGAGTTAGAACAAACTTCTAATTCCTCGATTTCATTCTTTTGTTTTTGTTGTTTTCTCTTAAAATTTTAGAACATCATGAATTAGTGGGGAGAGTAGTGAACAGGTAGCAGTTTTCTATAAATTGAAGCCAATAAATTTGTATTTAATTATACAACCACAAATTTCATTCAGTGGTATATGGGTTAGAACTGCTATTTTTTTTAATATGTTCATGGAGAAATTGGCAAGCAGTTATATTTGGGTTGCAGATACCCTTCAGTGCATTGCAGAGATGCTGCAGATCACCAAGCAAGCCATGGGATCGGATGTACCCATAATTGAGAAGAAACTTGAGAGGTGAGCATACTGCTTCTCTCAAGAATAAAGGCATTCTTATCCAAAGTCTTATTTCTTTAAAATTCTTTGCAGGGGGAAAGGGGAGGAGATCACATTATGGTAAGGTGTTGGTATTTAGAGAGGTAAGGATCAAATTTCTGTGGATCAAAATACTTTTTAACATTCTTCATGTATACAATTTTCAGGTAAGTGTTAGACTTACAGAAGAGCTGCACAGGTAATTTAGAGGGTTTCCATGTATCCTTCCTTCGGTTTCCCTTCATGTTACCAATTTATAACCATAGATCATTCATCAAAACTTAAGAAAGTAACCTTGGCACGGTAAGATTAATCAAAGTACAGATTTCACTAGGTGTTCACTAGCACCCTTTTCCTGTTCCAGGATCCAGTTGGGATTCCACACCACATTTAGTTGTCTCTATAATTTAATGTTACTTCCTCAATCTTGTCTTTTCTCTCATAATTTTGACATTTTTAAAGAGTACTGGTCAGCTGTTTTGTAGAACATCCCTTAAGCTAGGTTTGTCCAGTGTTTTTTCCTGATGAAGCTGAGGTTACGCATTGTCAGGAAGGACACCGCAGAAGTGATGTGCACTTCTCAGAGCCCCATGCTGTGGGGAGGGAGGGCATGATGGCCTATGTAGTATTGTTGAGAATAAGCTTGATTACTTGGCTGGGGTAGTGGCATCTGCCAGGATTCTGCACTGCAAACTTTGTGTCTTCCTCTTTATAATTGCTAAATATTTAGGGGAAAACACTCTGAGACTATGTAAATATTGTTTCTGTGTAAATTTAAGTCTATTCATTTTCATAACCATCGTGGATCTTGTCTATGGTATTTATTCCTGTCATGATCTGTGGTGATTTTTCTAATTCTCATTCCTTCTACACTTGTTAATTGAAATTCTTCTGGAAAGCCACTGCACCCAGCCTCTTGTACATTTTTAACCTATACAGGTTAATAATCTTTCATTGCTAAAGATTGTATTTTATGCATTTTCCATATTACTGTAGAATTCGTAACTACCATTTAAATAGATGCCTACTGTGATCTGTTTGGAAATGTATTGTGTGGGTTCAGAATGTGGATTCTGTGACTCGTGGTTCTATCAATTACTCTTTAACCTTGGAAAACATATGCCTTTACTTCAGTTTTGTTATCTGTAAGATGAGAGAAAATCCATGTCAGTGCATTGCATGAACTGAATGATAACGCACTTAGACCTGGCACACAGCTATTAAACCCAGTTGCCAAGAATTTTGGTTGCTAGCATTTTTTCCTTTTATAAAAAAGTCATGACAGATATCTTTGTCATGTATTACTTTCTCATGTTTAGGATAATTTCTTGAGAATAGCATCCCCAGGTTGTGAATCTGGATTAAAAGACGTGAATATATCACTTGTCCCTAACAGTGCCAAACTGATTGTCAGACTCCTTTAACCCTGCACCCACCTCCTTAAAGGTTATTGCTTATCCTCAGTTTCAGGAAAAACTCTGAAGACCCAGAGTTTCATCTTCTTCTTTTTTTTTGGGACGGAGTCTTGCTCTCACCCAGGCTGGAGTGCAGTGGCACAATCTCGGCTCACTGCAAGCTCCACCTCCCAGGTTCATCATGCCATTCTCCTGCCTCAGCCTCCTGAGTAGCTGGGACTACAGGCTAATTTTTTGTATTTTTAGTAGAGACGAGGTTTCACCGTGTTAGCCAGGATGGTCTCGATCTCCTGACCTCGTGATCCGCCCGCCTTGGTCTCCCAAAGTGCTGGGATTACAGGCGTGAGCCACTGCACCCGGCCCAGAGTCTCATTTTCTTGAGTGATATGGCATTTAAAATATGCTTAGGATATCCCTCTAGGTGTGTTTAAAAGTTTTGATAGAGTAACACTGTCTCCACAAGTACTTAGGTAGGTGGTATTTTGCCAAGAGAATCAGTCTGAGAGCAAGCCCCTGCAAGGATTTTGCCGTCCTTGACACAACTCATGTGGCCACAAGCGATACATTTTTAACTCCTAAGTAAACTGATGAGAGGAAACATTGAAATTTTTTCTAAGTACTTTGTAGAGAAAATAGTATGTTTTAAACATTAGGCTTTTGAAGTTGGAAAAAGAATGCCTATCAACAGATTATTTCACATTTAAAAAGTGTGGCTTTTCTTTCTAATGAGCATCTGTCAGGTTTTGTGGTCCACATTCTACTAGTGAAGAGAGCCATTTGGCCAGAAGAAAATTGTTCAGGCTTTTGCTGAAGAATTACTGTAACCCATAATTTTTCTGTAGTATGCTCATGATCAGTGACCTTGCATGACCCAACAGGACAAATGCACAGACTAAGACATTTGTGGCAAATAGCATCAACTTTTCTCTCTTATTTGTAGCTGTCATGAGGGATACCAAAGGAGAGAAGACACTAAGAGTAATTGTGTTAAATGTCCCAAATCTTTTTTTAAATAAATTCAGGTAATCCGCAGGACATGTAAGAAAATGGAAGTCTTACCCCTCTCTCCCCGCACTACCTGAATGGAGCCACGCTGGGATGTGTCTAGATAACCTGAGTTCAGGTGCTGCAGATTCCCATTTATAATCAGATGGTGGCGGTGCTAGACCCGCACTGCCCACAGTAGCAGCCACTCACCACATGTGGTTGTGAAGCCTTTTAGAATGCAGCTAGGCTGAATTCAGGTGTGCTGTAATTACAGAACACTATACATTGCCTATATTAAATTAGTTCAAAAAGGAATATTAATCTTTTAATATTTTTATGTTGAAATATTTTGTATATATTGGGTTAAATATTAAAATTAATTTCATTGCTTTTTAATGTGGCTGCTAGAAAAATTGTAATTACATATGTATTTCACATACTTCTATTGGATAGCACTGTTTTAATGTCAACTCTGAGGGGTTATCTATCAATTAGCAATGCAGTGTTCTGAAGAAGTTGGGACCAATTTGAATAAGTAAGTGTTTTCACTTATATTAATAACTGGAACTGGTATATTGGATTCCATGGGGGATTAACTTATTTTCTCTCTTAATTTGCAGGAAGAGCAGTAAACCTCACGAAGACATCATTGGTATCAGATCTCAAAACCAAGGTTCTTTGGCCCAGGGAAAGAATTTTTTAATGAGCAAATTTTCATCTCTAAATCAAAAAGTGAAGCAGACCAAATCCAATGTAAATATTGGCAACCTCCGAAAGCTAGGAAACTTTACCAAACCTGAAATGAAAGTTAACTTTCTAAAACCAAACTTAAAAGTAAATCTTTGGAAATCAGACAGTAGTCTTGAAACTATGGAAAACACAGGAGTGATGGATAAAGTTCAGGCAGAGTCTGATGGGGACATGTCTTCAGATAATGACTCATACCACTCTGATGAATTCCTTACAAATTCTAAGTCTGATGAAGACAGGCAGCTAGCTAACTCATTAGAGAGCGTAGGGCCAGTAGATTACGTTCTTCCTAGTTGTGGTATTATTGCTTCAGCGCCTCGATTGGGTAGTCGGTCCCAGTCTCTTAGCAGCACAGATAGTAGCATTCATGCTCCTTCAGAGATAACTGTTGCTCATGGCAGTGGGCTTGGAAAAGGCCAGGAGTCTCCTTTGAAGAAAAGCCCTTCTGCTGGCAACATACACATATTGACTGGCTTTGCCAAGCCGATGGATATTTACTGCCACAGATTTGTGCAAGATGCACAAAACAAAGTGACCCACCTTTCAGAGCCCAGGTCTGTGTCTCAGCAGGCTAGTCAGGAAAGAAATCAAATGACCAGTGAAGTTTCAAACGAAGAAACCCAATCAGAATCAACAGAACAGACACCTTCTCGGCCATCTCAATTAGATGTCTCTCTCTCTGCAACAAGCCCACAGTTTTTGTCAGTTGAGCCAGCGCATTCAGTTGCATCTCAAAAAACCCCCAGCTCCGCTTCCGGCATGCTTGAACTTGAGACAGGGCTTCACGTAACTCCTTCTCCTTCAGAGAGCAGTAGCAGCAGAGCAGTCTCTCCCTTTGCCAAGATTCGAAGTTCCATGGTCCAGGTTGCTAGTATTACCCAAGCTGGATTAACCCATGGGATAAACTTTGCAGTGGCAAAAGTTCAGAAGAGTCCTGCAGAACCTGAAGTCATTAATCAAGTCCAGCAAAATGAACTTAAAAATATGTTTATACAATGCCAGACACGGATAATTCAGATTTAGCTTTTAGCCATAAGAATCCTTCCATGGCTTTTATTTAAAAATATGAAGTTTTTATCTCTTGGGGTATTTTAATTGTACTGTCTGAATCCAGGGATCACAAATTCTGTTCATTGGAAAGGGTTTTAAAAGGAGTCTGAACCTGAGTAGATTTCCAGATTTTAGAGCCAGGACTACAGAAGCGCATCATTCTAGAATGTGTAGACCTGAGTAGCTTATACACTACAGAGCACTTTGCTTATTTGAAAGTAATTCAGCAACAGGTCACTTTGGGATAAACTGAACCTTTTTTTTGGAGTGGGGTGGGTAGACTACATTAAGTAGACACAAGGGCTGGACATGCAGATGTTTAGGGGATTAGCATTTTTCATTATTTGTTCTGTTTGTCAGTTCATTCCTGTGTGTTACCTCTACAAATTACACATTTAGTTTTTAGTGACTAACATGTTACCAAAGCATTTGAATATAAAGCTATTTTAGTTTTGATGGCTTAACTATTCCCTGAGGAGTTGAGGGTTACTGACACTAAAATGAATTCTGATTTGATCCTAATTTCCCCCATATTCTACTTGAACACATTAAAAATACTCTGCTGCCTACAGTGTAAACCTAGGAATATTAAGACTTGTCACACAGTAAACCTGATACATCAGAGGTGAATACCAGCACCTATTAAATTCCATTTTGCTGTTTTCAGGAATGTAAGAACACACACATATTGGCTACTGGAAATCCCGGAAGTCCGGTTTTCATTTATTCCAGGAGGGGCATCCTCGACATCTTATGTAGACGATCAACAACTTCAAAATTTAGTCTGGGCCAAGTGCAGTGGTTCACACCTATAATCCCAACACTGGGAGGCCAGGAGTTTGAGACCAGCCTGGGAAACATATGTCTCTACAAGAAAATACAAAAATTAGCTGGGCTTAGTGGTACATGCCTGTGTTTCTAGCTATGCAGGAAGATTGCTTGAGCCCATGAGGTTGAGGCTGCAGTGAGCTGTGATTGTGCCACTGATCTCCAGCCTGGGGGACAGAGCAAGACTGTCTCAAAAAAAATTTAGTCTGAAGCACAACTGTGCTGAATCTGTCTGACTAACTCTTGACCACACAGAACCAGGGTTTGCCCCTGTAATCCCCATGGTAAGAAAGTTGTACGGCATATTCCAACAAGTATTGGTTTGTCTGGTATCTTTAGAGCTCTACTCTGTTGATGTGATTGATTCTCGGCTGAACATTATGTCTGTTGTAACTCTGATAAGCATTCCACTTTTGTTATTTATTAGTGGTATCTTTTTTTTTACGTGTTAAATCTTGTGATTGTTAAAATAAAGTATCACTGTAATTTAAAGTGACAAATGTGTATGAGAATTCCTTGCATAACAGATTAAAGAATTTGTAAATGGGGCAAATTTGCTATAACTGAACACTTGGTCTAGCTGTTGCCAGTATTTTACTCCTTTGAAGTATACTCATGATTTAAAAAGTAAAATGGATCAGAAACTATACTTTAAATCCAAACATTCAAAACTGAATGCTTGCTTCTACCAACTTTTCTTCCGGGTCCTGAAAATATTTATTAAGGGTTCCCAACATGGGGGAAAATACAACCTAACATTAGGTGATAAAATACATGTTTAAACTCCACAGAAACAGTTTTGAAAGAGATTTTTGAAAAGTTATTTTAAGGCAAAGTTCCACGCAAGGTTACACAGGAGTCTACTCAGTTTCCTGGCCATACAGGGTTAACGCTGTGCCTTACATTAGAGCAACAAACTTGACTGTCCATGTGTATATAGGTGAGGGACAAAGGATTTCTGCAGCCAAGCGCTGCACTGCATTCCACTGCCTGGGTGGGCCTTGAGCAGGAAGGTCCCTCTTGCTGCACCACCTCCACTTCAGTTCACCTCTCTCATGTCTTCCACCAGGAGGACATGGCCTTTTCCCACACAGATCACATGGGATGGTGAATCTTACCATTCATGAAAAACAGCCCAAGGTACTGGTAATTTGGGAAGTTTTATTTATTGGAAAGATTCTTTCAAGGGAACTTTTCTGCAAGACCAAGCAATGTATGTATTTTTCTTTGGTAAATTACAATTTACATTGGCACAAAAAACACATGGTGACTAATCTACTTTGCTGTAGGACAGTTAAAGAAAATGTATTTTATCCTCACAAATCCAGGTTAAGCCTTCATTTTATTTCTAAAAGTTTAAGGAAGGTCTAGTCTACCAGTTATAAAAATGAAAACCAGTTAAACTCTAATATAAACATTATTTACATTAGTTTATAAAAATAGATTTGCGTTTAGGAAAAGTTGAACAACTAGTAATTTTTACTTCAGTTATTAGGTACAATGAATTCCTTGACTTTTCAAGGCTGACCCTGTTTCCTTGGTTAACAATGTCAATTTAGGCCTTATAGGAAAAAATGTAAGGGATCCTTTATCTGTCTCCAACTAGGTAAGCTACTTCATACCACTGCCAGCTTGAAAAGTAACGTCCTAACCTTTCTGAAGATTCTGGTTGCCATAACCATGCTACTATAGTCTGTTAGTTTGCTCTATTGAAACTAATTGGTCTGGAGAAAACCTACCTGCAGCTGTATGAGGCTGTTACTGAAGTAGCAGATGTTAGCTGATCTAACATACTTGGAACCAACGGATGAACCTACATAAAATGCCAAAAATCCAATAGAATCAAAGCAACTACAACATGACATTAAGAAAATAACTTTCTAAAGGGGGTATTGGTTTTTAAGCTTACTGTTTTGTTTTCATATGTGGACACAGCTTTGTAACACAGCATTCCCTTATGCATGGTTCTCAAATGCACCGGGATAGGAGAAGATAAAGACAATGTAGTGTCTCGGTTTCTTTTGCCCCCAAAAGCTACATTCATTCCATTTAAAGGACTCTTATTCAGAGATTGTCCTTTTATGAAAAAAATGGTGATAATAGTGATTTATTCAAATTACTTGGCAAGGTAGATTGGCAACCTTACAGTCCCCCAGATTTTTGGAAGTGTTACTACTGGTCCACAAAATACAAAAGTCTGCCATGTACAAGTCTAGTTTTGCAGGCTGTTAACAAATGTTAAGTGAGAAAAGGTTTCTGTGGCCAAACATCTGGGAAATGACAGGACAGAATTTTACGTAGTCATGTGAATCAATGGCAAATCCGCCTCCGTTCCCCAAAGATGGACTACTGAATGCACCCCAACCCAACCCACTGTGAACTGGAAAACAGAACTGGAAAACATAAGGAATCCGAAGCATGATACCTCTGACTTTGAAATTGCAACAACCTTCTTCATTTCAGCATTTCAACAGTCTGGCCTATGACTCAGCTGAAGCTAAGGAAAAGGTATAATCAGCAACATTATCAATATTAAACTTTTAATATCAAATACTTTTTTTTACATCATTACTAATTTATATAATTATAAAACAAACTTCAAAAGCTCCATGAAATCAGTAAGGTAAAAGTCCTTACTGAATATCATATAAACATCAGATGTTATCAGGCTTGGTTTCAGGAAATGTCATTGGTTTGTGATAGAAATTACCTATAAAACAATGTGGTATAAATGAACATCTGAATTTTACAATCATGTGGCTACAATTTGCCCATTACTCTTCACAGGCATCAGATCTTTAAAGTTCATTTCCATTCACACATTTCTGCTGCTGGAGCCTCGTTCTTCTTAAAGACTCCAGCTGCTTTGCTCTCAGCCATCGTTCTCTTGACAGCGTTGTCTGACCAGCACTGAGAGACAGACACCTGGTTGCAAACACGGAAACAAATGTTAAGTCTAGAGCTGGGAAAGTAAGTTTTAAATTTTTTTAAGACCTAGGAATACTTGGTGAAAACACAGACCATGTTAGGAGACAAGACCGTCTGGCAGTTACACACACGTCAATAGCCAAGTCAGGCTTCTACAAAGAAAGTGTTGAAGAGTCAGAACTGGAGGGTGGCTCGCTCTTTGAAGCTTAGAGAACAAGCAGCACGCCTGTTCCACTGAAGAGATCACCAGCCAAACTCGATTCCCCCTCAATGAGCCCTTTCATAACAGCGTTTTTGAAAGGAAAAGTTCATTTCTGTTTTTAGAAGTCTGCCTCAGCTACTGCTGAATAACTCAGAAGACTTATATACACAAGCTTACTGAGAAAACGATGCACACGTGCCACTCACCGAGCCACCACGAGCAGCTGGTGAAGATCATCAGCAGTGATGCTCTGAGGGTCATTCTTCCGCATTTCCACAAAGTCATCTTCAACTGCCTTTATCAAGAGAGTAAATGGAAATGATGTGCATTTTTGTAAGGAAGAGAAAATGAACATGGTTCCTTGACTGATATAATAAGGTGGATGTCAGCCTCTTAGACAAAGGAGGCAATATAGGTGAAAGTACCAAAGCATATACATAAATAATGCTGCTGATGAAAAGAAAATAATGAAACTCAGATTCATTTAAGGTCAAACAAACATATAAATCAGCAACTGGCATAGGAACGCTTTTCAACAAAGGGGGAGTGATGTGATGTTAGTGAAAATGGCAGAGAAGGGACTGCAGAAAACTGTCTCTACTGTTAACACTGATCAAAATCAGCTTCTTAAAAACTAGAAATAAAACCACACTTACAGCAATCCAGAGAGCATTTATGCCAGAAAACCAGGTGATTACTGGTAAGAATGTTGAGCCTTGCGGCATTTTAACATGTCCTACTCCTGTATTCCAACCCCTTCCCCTCCAGGCGGTAATTAATAGCTTCTTCAAAAACCAACAGCCTGGCAGCCACCGGAGAGAGAACAGGGCTAGGGCTCCTTCAAAGTGCCATTCCTGGAGAACTGTCATCTGACCACCTGTCTGGTGGCTCCCTGGAAGGACCCATTTGCAAGGTTGTCTTTATTTAAAGTGACTGGAAGCCTGTCTACTATGAACCACCTCTTTCCCCAGGGCATTTATCAAAAACAATCAGAAGAAATTATCAATCACCTTAGCTACCTGAGACACTGGGTAACAGTTGTGGCAAACAACAGACTAACCCAAACCCTTAAACAGAAAAGCTAACTGGGAAATCAGATGTCCACAGAGGACTCTGAAAACCTCACGTATATAACTCCTAGGAACTCGGAAGGCTGCAGACATGCTCAGAGACCTTAAACTCCCACCTCTGGATAACCTGGAGGCTCTGTGTGAGCAGGAAATGAAGGCTAAGGCAGGCTTGTAAATTGTATGGCTAAGTGTTGAAGGGTTGCCCCAACTTTTATTTTTATTTATGATTATTATTCACCCTTAGACTGAGAGACTAACTACTTCCTGGCATTTAAGGAAATTTCTTTCCAATCATTAACCACAAAACTAACAGAGCAGAGACTTCAGTGCCCACATGTGACAAAGATACAGACTTTATAGGATTAGTCAAAAAAGTTACTAAACAACCTACCAACAGTAACAAATAGCAACAACAATAAACCCTAGGGAGGTTTAATTTCCAGAGTCTAACTTCCCAAGCAGAGTTGTCATAATATATAATTTAAAATGTCTGGTTGTGGCTAGGTGTGGTGGCTCACGCCTGTAATCCCAACACACTGGGAGGCCAAGGTGGGAGGACTACTTGAAGCCAGGAGTTGATCAGCCTGGGTAATAAAGCAATACCTCATCACTACAAAAAAAAGAAAACACAAAAACAAAAAACTTTATTTGGGCATGGTGGCGCACACTTATGATCCCAGCTACTGAGGCAAGAGGATCACTTGAGCCCAGGAGTTTAAGGTGGCAGTGTAGCTGTGGTTGTGCTACTTACTATTCCAGCCTGGGTGACAGACTGAGACCCCACTGACCAAATAAAATGTCTGGTTTTCAACAAAAAGGTACAAAGAAACCAGAAGGTATGGCTCACACTTTGGGGATAAGGGAGTCAGTAGAAACTGTCCCAGAGGAAATTCAAACATCAGACAAAAAGATTCTAAGTTGGCTATTTTAAACATTCAAAGAACTAAAGGAAACCACATAAAAAGAACTTCAGGAAAATATGAGAATCACCAAATAGTATCAATAAAAAGAGAGAAATAATTTTTTAGAAGGAAATAAAAATTCTGGAGTTGAAAAACATAGTAAAAATTCTCTAGAGGTACTCAGATTTGACCAGGCAGAAGAAAATCACTAAACTTGAAGATAAGTTCACTGAGATTAGTCTAAGAACAAAAAAAGAAGAATGAGGAAAAATGAACAGAGGCTTGAAGACCTGTGGGATACCATTAAATGCACCATCAGATACATAGTGGGGGTGTCAGAGGGAGAGGAGAGAGAAATGATGCAGAAAGAAACATGGCCGAAACCTTCCCAAAT